GTATATTGTAATAGGAACATTTTATGACAAAAGTATTATATCAATCCGAATCCCAGACTCAGGCCTAGAAGCATAGCTACGATTCACTGAGCAATGAGGATCTGCCCCTGTTTCACTTCACTTTATGAAAAAAGCAGAACTAAAGCTGCGGGATTTGAACGCTAACAACTATTAGATCTAAAAACTAAATTTCTCCATTCATGGTTTTTAAAATCTGGTAATGCAGTTTTACAAATCAAAACAAAACATTTAGTCATTCACAAACCATTAACCAATTTGTAGAAGAAAAAAAAAAAAAAAAAGGAAAGCAAAAACATGACCTATGGTACTCATTTCAAAAGAAAACCCAAAGGGAGGACTTCTAAAAGCTTGATTCAGCCACAGTAATTAGACAGGGGACAGGAAGTAGTACAGTGTTTTATGACCTTATAAAGACATTAGAGACCTCTGCTCATTGGCCCTCACCATTCACTACTTTTATCTCCCACCTTTTTGTGAAGACTTTTTGTGCACTTTGAAATTTTCTGTCTCTGCCCCCTCTTACCCATCCATCCATTTTGAAACATCTTGGCTTCAATAAAGGCTTTCATTCTAATCTCTAATCCTCTGGCGGCTGGAAGAGTGTCTCTGCCTGAGCTCTTTGATGGAAGACCACTGCGCTACATTATTACCAATCTTGACACTTGTCCATCTCCCCCTATATTTATTTATTAATCCTGGCAACAAACAAGTCCACTGTTGTAAATCATGGCGTATCATTGGAGGGTTATTTTGCGCCAGCGTGAAACTTACAATTACGCGGCCTGTCCACCAGTCCTGCCCTGAAATCAATACAAACTGACAGAGTGAGTCATTTGCCTGTCATTTCCCTGTATGCGTTTCGTGAAATATGACACACTGACATGGCGTGGATTCCTCCTTTATGTGTCTGAAGAGGTGGCAGGATTCACAATATCAAGGAGCATGGCTACTTGAGAATAACAGGCAAAAGCAAATATGAAATTGTTAAGCAAAACTGCTGAATGTGAAGCTTGCAAAAAATTTATTTGTGATAGAAGCATAGTTTTGTTTTGTTTTTTTTGCACTCAGCTCAGAAGTAGAGCATTTAAATGAGGTTATAAAAGGCGTGTTACCAAAATTACAGCATAATTACTACACTAAATTATTCCAATGAAAAGCTATTGACAAAAAACAAAACAAATGTGTACAAAACTTTATAAATTGTAAATCAGAAAGCCAAAATGTACTAGCAACTAACAGTGAACTAGTAACACCTACTACTGCTGCAGTCTTACTACAATTTCAAGAACCAAGCTTCTTTATTTGGTTTGATTTATGCTTTGTACTTTCAGCATTCAGGGTTGGGAGGATAATACTAGCTGTGACTGCATGCTCAGAATCAGTCAAATACGCATGTGCTACCAAATGTGTAAATGATGAATTTAAAAGAAAAGTCAAGTTACTTTCCAAGTTTGCTCGATGTGCTTCAACACCTCCACAGTATGTAAGTGGACCCTAAGGAGAGAGCTGTTGCGTGAGGCTTAGACAAAGTTGGCTGCTCCAATTGAGAGAGAGTCTAAGACCGATGGAGAGGGAAAGAGAGACAATGAGAGTGAGAGAGAAAGAGAGACAATGAGAGCGAGAGAGAAAGAGAGACAATGAGAGCGAGAGAGAAAGAGAGACAATGAGAGAGAGCCAGAGAGAGAGAGAGAGAAGGAGAGAGACAGAGAGATAAAGAGAGAGACAGACAGAGAAAGAGAGAGATATATAGAGAGAGGAGAGAGAGAAAGAGAGTGACAGAGATTGAGACAGAGAGAGGCAAAGAGAGAAAGACAAAAAGAGAGAGAGAGAGAGAGACAAAGCGAGAGACAGAGATATGGAGAGGAGAGAGAGAAAGAGAGTGACAGCGAGACCGAGACAGAGAGCGCGAGAGAGAGAGAGCCACAGAGAGAGAGAGACAGAGAGATATAGAGAGAGAGGAGAGAGAGAAAGAGAGTAACAGAGATTGAGACAGAGAGAGGCAAAGAGAGAAAGACAAAAAGAGACAGAGAGCGAGAGAGAGACAGAGAGACAGAGACATAGAGAGGAGAGAGAGAAAGAGAGTGGCAGCGAGACCGAAACAGAGAGCGAGAGAGAGACAGGGAGAGATATATAGAGAGAGAGGAGAGGGAGAAAGAGAGTGACAGAGAGATTGAGACAGAGAGAGAGAGGCAAAGAGAGAAAGACAGAGAGACAAAGAGAGAGACAGAAAGAGAGAGAAAGAGACAGAGAAAGAGAGAGAGAGAAATAGACAGGAGAGAGAGAAAGAGAGTGACAGAGAGACCGAGACAGAGAGAGAGAGAATGAGGGACAATGAGTGAGAAAGACAATGAGAGAGAGCCAGCGAGAGAAAGACAGAGAGACAAAGAGAGAGAAAGAAATGGCGAGACACAGAGAGAGAGAGAGAGAGACAGAGACAGTGAGAAAGAGACAGAGAGAATCACACACACAGACAGACGATGAGGAAGACAGAGAGAGAGAGAGAGAGAGAGAGAAACTGAGAAAGAGATAGATTATAAGAGAGAGAGAGAGAGAGAGACAGAGAGACAGAGACACACAAACACAGACAGAGAGAGACAAAGAGAGATAAAGACAAAGACAAAGAGAGAGAGAGTATAAAAGGAAGAGGACGTCTAGAACATCCTTACGACATCCTGTCCCTCCCCTGTCCAGCACTTACACATGAGACATATCATTAGACCTGCCCCTGAAACAATGGGCCGCGCTGTCACTATGGAACTGGGGACACAAACACATTCAAGGGGCTTTAATACAACAACAGCGGGATGGGAGAGGACAATGAACTCAAAGCAGGGGAGGAAGGACAATGGTACTCAAGAAGGGCTTTAAGTACAAGCTTTTCTGTAAAATAGTAGTGAAAGTGATCATTTTCAACTACAGCTACACCATATACTACAATTACAATTCGGAGAGCTGCAATTATCAATACGCAAAGTCTTTTTTGGGAACTGTAGCTTAGACCTCTGTAAACCTACTCTGAAATGTATGTAATTCTCGATTCACAATAACACATTTTGAAATGCGATATATTGCTAAAGTCAGTAAAAATGACAATACTGATACCAAACCATAAAGCAGAATTCTTCACAAAAAGTATTCTAAATGTACAATATTGTTAAATAGTGTCGAGAACGTTTCATTTGAGTTCATAATTCAACCTTCCACAGCTAAAATATTATTATACTGCAGAAAAAATTGCAAAGAAAAGGTCCCTAGGATAAATATTGATGCACAGAAATTATTGTTCCATTTATAACATATTGAATGATAAGTTGATATAGTAATTATCATGACAGGCCTCTTGTTCTAGTTTGACAGTTCACATATAAATTTTCTCTCTGTTTAAAATGAGTTTTGTGAAATGTATTTAGATTTGAAAATATGAATTCCCCAAATCTTGTACAGCCCTAACTAATATGACTAAACTCCACAACAGCTGCTCTTATGCTTCTTAATACAATACAAAAAAATATTTAAGAATGGTATATCAAATAAAAACTAGAACCTCTACTGTGTCGTAAGTCATGGCATAAAGGTTGACAATATAAGAAAAGTGCAGCTGGGAAACTGAGAGAAAGACAAAGAGACACAGGAAGTAAGAAAAAAAGATCAGTTTTGACTTAAATAGGTTAAAGACGACGCAGTGGAATCAAAATGACATGTTCTACCCAGATATAATGATGAAAAGCTATGTCTCGTGTTGCATTTGTTTTGACAATGCCCAAAACACACGTCCAAGTTATTGTCGGAATTTAAACTTTTATAATAATGTAATGTTTCGTTTCATAAATTCCTAAAATAGAGCAGAGAAGCTGTAGGCAGATTGAATCGTTTCCCTCTCATTGCCTCCACTATTTAACCACGGGGGAAGCCATTTTGATCATGTTTGTGAGCGGAAATGGGCCTCTCCTCCTCTCTCTCACTCAGGGGGGGATTATAGAGTGCACAGAGCTGCTGGAAAACACAGTTAAAACAAATCAGGTGGCTCCTCTCCCAGTCTCACGTCTGTGCTCTGCCCTGTGGCCATATGCGCCCAAGTTCTTCAAGGTAATGCTGGTCCCCATCAAAGCTCCAAAGAAAACTGTTTGGCTAACTAAGGTGCTAAAACTTGAATGGTGGTTACTTGGACACATTTTAGTGTTTGTCGGTTATTTAAATCATGCTCTAAAACTAAGCCTGTCTCATAAATACTAAATACAACATAACAATAATGTTCAATATTAACTGTGGTTACTTTTTCTTTGTCCTAGTGGGAAATTTTTTGTAATTTTTCTGCAGGATGATCAGATTTGAGCTGAACAAATGTTATCATCTCTTTTCACAAAATTGACTATATGTTTGTTAGTGTTATGTTAATAGTTTTACACCAATCTTTTAAATTATCAGATTGCATCATAGCTACAACAGATTTTATTGCCTTGAATATTACAGGCTACTCAATTAATGTATCTATCTAGAGCATTTATTTAATTCTGTGTGTTTTTAATGCTTAAAATGTGTGTATTCTTACTTTAATCTTGTAATCTTGCCACAGATCTGACTTGTAAAAGCCTCTCCCTCAAGATAAGCACAAACCACCTTTAAAGGATATTGAGTAAAATTTTTATCATTCTTGCTTGCCATGGTCACTGTCATGATTTTAAAGCAATAATATGACTGAATGTATTAATCTGTCATCCAACTGTTTGTCCATTTGAAAGGAGACAAAACACAGTTAATATCCAGCAGGTGAATTTTACAAATACAATGTTTCACCTGGAAACTGTGGCCAAATGCCAAGGACCAGAACAAACAAAGGAACAAAACCCATAAAGTACATGCAAACATCTAGGCAATAGGAACAGGGCTGAGTCACAGACAGGTGGAGGAAGTACAACAGGCTTTGTAGAATACCGTGGAATACTGGGGGTACGGGGTGGGTATAAACAGCGCTCTCTTACCCCTCTCTCATCGACATGTCCTCTTCTTTGTTAAGTGTGGCTCTTGGGGCTCCCAGCTTCCCCTGTTTTTGTCCTGGAGTGGTCAACTGCAACTTTACTGTCTTCACCCATCACCTGTAACAGAGGAAACACGGAGAAATTAAGCATCAGGGGGATCTGGGTTAGACATGTACTAGACAAAATACAACTGGGAAAAAAGAAATTTATTCTCAGGGATGGGAAAATAACTAGATCTCACAATACAGTAGTTTCAAACTTTTAACTTTATGACACAATATTGTTGGAAATTTGTTTTTGTTTCTTCTATATACCCAGGTGATCCTTCTGTTCAGTCATTGCCATATTCCAAGATAACCAAATTACAGCACATTTCAAACAGATTGCTGGTCGTATTTCATTGGAGCAAAGGATCATGGTCATAGTAGTTCTTACTTGTTATACTGACTATATTACTACGAAAAACGACGAGCTCTAAATAAAACATTGTGTCAACACTCTATCGACATACATTTTGAGAGTGTGATAGCATATTGTTGTTTTAAGGTTTATTCAATTTCTGTTGCTGTTATTTGAATCAAAACCTCCACTAAACATAAATTGCCTGGGTGTGCGTGCATGCGTCTGTTCTGAGTAGTGAGTGCTGAGATAAAATTGCTACCAGCTGTAATGGTCGCTATCAATTTATTTGTGGAGTACACCAATGTTGACTATGTGCGAGGCTGATAAAGCATTCTGCAAACACGAACAAAAATGAATGGCGTTTTCTCTCCCCTGTATTACACAAGGAAATTACCCATGATCCCTTGCCGTTCATTATGATACAAATGATAACCATAGCACCACCAGCTCCTACTTTGTCTGTGTGTAACCCCAAAAGGCCCACCCCTCCATCCCGTACTGCAACAGGGGCTCTTTGTCTGGTCCCCATGCCCTCCTCTCCGGCCCCCCCACACCTCCTCCTGCCCTGCCCCGACTCGATGCTGGTTGGCTGGGACACAGGCATGCCTCAACAGGAACAGTCATGGAGGAAGGGAACAAATGCACTCAAAAATATGTGGTCATTTTTGAAACTAAATTGTCTCTCCTGTGTTTTGCATCATAAAAACGATGTTCAAAAAAGGAGGGAGAGGTGTGTGGAGACAGCTTTCTCTCTGAGCACGGCTTCAAAGTTGTACTATTTTTGGTTTTATGCTAATTATAAACAAAGCAAAGTCTGTCTTTTCAGCTTTTGCAAAACCTTCGCCACAGCAGATTCTCTGTACCTGATTGTAGACAGAAATATCGCAATTATATGATTTTCACAATTGCTTTCAACTGATATAATATGAATTGTTGTAGTTTACTTATGAACACAATAGCCGCCTTTTTGCTTTGTTGTTACTCCCCGAACAAAGATATACTACAATGACATGCTATGAAATCCAAAGTTGCACATTAATTATACACATTTTTTGACACCTTTCTGAGGCAGCCCTATCAGCTGGCAAAGGAGTGGCAAAAAACATTAATCCATTTTTGCTGGACTTGTTAAATTACTTACTGAAATAACAATTTGTGATTTTGGAGAAGGCATATTATTCAAAATAGCCTTAAAGTACATAACCTGTAATTTCTAAATCATGCAAAGAAAATACGGGGCCTGCCCACGGAGGTTAGTTGGGACATAATTTTAGCTCTGGTACCTTTGCAGCCCTAATAACATAAACAGCGCCTGGGGCTTGTCTCATTTTGAAAAAGAGAGGGGAGAGAGAGGCTGCACATGAAAGCTGTGCAGTTTCCCTTTGGCCAAACACACATGAACACAACACAGATGCACCGCTCCGAAGAGACTGGATCATTAACCCAACCTAATCTGCAAACAATATGTTTATGGAGACGCCTTTTCAGTCAAGAGCACGTACAGTTAAGCTATGGTAATTTATTTGGTGTGTGTGTGTGTGTGTGTGGGCGTGTGACAAAGATGTTTTCAGTCCTGCAATGAAATGAAAATGTATTTAGTGTTTAACATAATCAATATATTTTGTTTTCACACATTTCTGGTAGATTAATTTTGCAGCATCTATGAACCATAATTAAGAGGCAACCTAGATCGTGCTTAATTGCTTTATTGTAAAAATCATAATCTATTCCTCAGTTTTTTATTAGTACTTTTATCAGACCTAATACAAATGATATACATGTACAAACACAATATTTCTTTCAATTGTTGCAGTCATTTTTAACTTTCACCCAGTGTTTACAAGTGTGCTTTGTAGCGAGACTTCATAAAATTGTTATTTCTCAGTTGACTGGAATACAAAATAATAGCATCAAACAAATGATCCAGAGTAAACTATAAAACTTTTGGTCCATCCAATTATTTCTATTTTTACATTGTTTTAGAGAAAGACAAGATGCAAATTCCATGTATCGCAATGACTGTCAAACCATTCTTCATTGCCGTCCTGTACATGTTCTGTCTGTGAGGCCATGTGTATAGTAGCATGACAGAGCTGCTGGTGACAACAGTGTGCACTGTGACAAACCATGACAAAAACAGAGTGAACAGTGTGTGTGTGTGCGCTTATATGCAGTTTGTGTGTCTGTGTGTGCGTGTGTGTTTAGGTGTGCATGCATGTGTGTGTGTGCATGAGTCTGTGTGTGTATATATGGTTGTGATGGAGCCTTGATCTGCGCTCCTGCCTTCTCCTGGACCCCTGCTGAGCTGCCTTCATTAATCAATAGGACAGATGAAGACAGACTCCCGCCGCGTTGTGAGGGAAAACGCTCGCTTGTATGCGCGCGAGAACAGAGAATACCCTCGGGGAGAACGTGGCAGACATGATGCAAACCTCCGAGCCTCCCTGCCCACACAAGATCAGCAGCGCTCTTCGTATGCTTTCTTCTTCTCAACACCAGAAGAAGTCGGAATGCTTTGATTTGCATAGACTGTAAATCTGAGTTTGGGTGCACGTTGAACTTTTACAATACAAATTTTAGAGTTTTTGCTTTGTGTCAGTCAAATTCAATTGGAGCTAAAGTTGGGCGATATGGGAAAAAAATGAATCATGATTTTTTAATCTCATATTGATCTGTTTTCGACCATTTTTGATTCAATTGTATTTTTTACTTTTCACCGGCAAATGAAAATGTCTTTCATTATTGATTTTTTGAACATAATGGATGCAGACTTTTAAACAGTGCCATTTAATATATGTGTGTGTGTGATATATATATATATATATATATATATATATATATATATATATATATATATATATATATATATATATATATATATATATATATATATATATATATATATATATGTATATGTATAAAGTCAAATGTTTTTTTTCCTCCAAAGCCTGAACTCAGCTCCAAAACCACGTGCTGTTACTGACAGGATTGACTGTGGACCTCTCCATTAAAAACAGCCAAGCTTATCATCAACCATTAGACATGACTGAATCTCAATCTTTATTAAATTTGATTAATTGCTCAGCCTTAATTAGAGCCATTATTGGGATGGTTGATAAAGGAAAAAGAAATCCTGATAACAATAATCAGGAGATATTTTGCCAGTTTAAAATCTGTATTTTAAATTGTTGGGGTTAATTAACATACAAGCATGAAATTTCACAAAATTTTTTTGTCATCACTATCAAAAATAGTAAATAGTTTAAAAAATAAAATAAAAAAGCATTTAGTAAATAAATGTAATAATAATAATAAATATATTGTGCCAAAGAACACATGGATGAGATATGAACCAGCAGTTTGTGGGTGAAAACTGAACTCGCTGTGCCACCATCACTCCATATTGTAACAGTAAATAAACTACCATTACTTCATTATATTTATATATTATATATCTATATTTACTTATGTTATTCTTGTTTTTAGCTTTAGACCTTAGAAGATAGTTGTGTCTTTTATCATTTTGTTGTTGCTACACTGTATTATTCCTTAGTGGTTCTTAGAAAGCAAATATTTCCTGAGAATACATGTGGTGTAAAAAGTTTGAGAACAGAGTGTAGCCTCATTAATATACTAAAGCTAAACAGATAAAAGTGCTCCACTGAACTACCCACTCAACTACATCATCTAATGCATCTATTCATATTCTCTCCAAGGCATGTTCCTAAAAGATCCACAAGAAAAAATAGACACATTTACATATAAAGGCCACTTAAACACTTAATTGTATAACACAAGCAGGACCAAGTGCACTTTCCGTTCTGAGTGTATGTACTCATCTGTGTAGTACAAAGACAGTGTTGAATGCACATTATGCTCACTGTCAAACGAGCAAGCTTCTCTTAGTCATTTCACTGAGATCATTTGAGTCAGAATTCATGTTAAATACAGACGTGTGGTGCTGATCTAACCACAAAATAACTGCTGATGATATGGAGAATTTCTTTTAACTGTTCATTTAGTTTTTTAAAGTGCATTTTATAATCCCACACATTTTAGTAGTACGATTATGAGAATGAACATCAGAATTTTACAAATATTCACAATAATATAGTCACACCACAACCCAACACTGAAATCTTTCAGTTACTTCCATTCACATTGTATAATAGATGACCATTGCCGTATGAATATGAAATCAAACTTTCTGAGTGATAAAGTTGTTAAAGTTAGTTAATTTGTGAAGAAAAGTATAAAAATATGATGAAAATTATAGTACAAAATTCCATACTGATGAGATCACACTAGGGAGAATTTTATCCAAACGCTTGGCCCAATTTACACAAAGATATATATATTTTTTGTCAAATAAATAAAATGAACTTAACTGTGTTTCAGTAAAATTAACAGTTCATAGGCACTTTAAGTTTATTTATATGATAATCTTGACATCCCTACCCACAACATTTAAAATATTGAATTATTAGGATCATGTGGTTCAAAGATCATCTAAAAAAAGTGGTTTCTCTTCAAAGATTGCTATTTGTTCTCCAGTTAGTGCTCTAAAAGTATGAAGAAAGTGCTATGCTAATATAAATATTAGCATAATAATTTCAGTTTTATAAAAGTCATTTAAAAACTGTAAAATTAGCATAACCTTCCTGATTTGTTTAATGACATTCTGCATATGTCAGATTGTGTTAATGGATCCCACA